AAGAGAAGGAAAGGGGGAAGAGAAGGAAAGGGGGAAGAGAAGGAAAGGGGGAAGAGAAGGAAAGGGGGAAGAGAAGGAAAGGGGGAAGAGAAGGAAAGGGGGAAGAGCAGGAAAGGGGGAAGAGAAGGAAAGGGGGAAGAGAAGGAAAGGGGGAAGAGAAGGAAAGGGGGAAGAGAAGGAAAGGGGGAAGAGAAGGAAAGGGGGAAGAGAAGGAAAGGGGGAAGAGAAGGAAAGTTCCCAAAGCAGGAATTTTAATAGGGGGCTTTGCAAATATTAAGATTCCCAGACACTCTTCACTTCCAGATTTATTGTTATGAATAAATGCTCTATTTCTCCTTTAGGAGAAACAAGGACTCAGTGGGATCCAGCAGCAGCTCTGTTAAGGCAAAACTCCACTTCCTAACTGTGCTCCTAACTGGCTCTTCCCAGATGGATCAGTCCTGTCCTGGGACAGTGCACATCAGTCCCTCCTGACAGTGCTCAGGAAACATTAATTCTTCCAAATTCATCCATCCTTGAGGTTCCCTTTATTCTCTATTCTTGGCAACAACCAGAAAGCCAAGGTGAATTCCATCAGTAATTCCATCAACAACCAGAAAGCCAAGGTGAATTCCATCAGTAATTCCATCAGTACACGGAATTCCTACAGGAAACAACTCCCCAGGAACAAATGTGTTCCCTGAGACAACAGGAAATCCTGACATTCCACAGGGACTGAAAAGGAGCAGGAGTGGGACATTCCTTCATCCCACAGATTTCTGCCCTCAGAGCTGCTGAAAAGCAACACCACAGACAGCAGGGAGAACCCAAAATTCCCAAAGTAGAGCCCCGGAGCTCATAAAATCCCATTTTTTACAGGTTCCAGTGCTGCTTTATGTTAAACTCTGTCAAGGATCTCACCCCAGGAGATCTCTGGCCTTCTCCTGGGAAGTCCAGTGATGTAAGCACAAGAAACCCTAAATCTGGGATCAGGGGAAAGGAAATTATTCAGCCTCTTTCGACAGAGCTCAACTGAGCTTGAGTAAATATCAGAAATTATCCCTTTGTTAATAAAATAATCCATATTTACAAAAGGCCTTTCAGCTTCCCACCTCAAAGCATTTTGGAGAACATCACTGAAGAGGTTCTGCATATCTAAATAATGTTTCTTCTTAAAAAACATCACCAACTTTGCTGTAAATGAGTAAAATAAAATTCCTGAAGAAGCTGCTTGGATTTGTTTGTTTACAGCAGAAAAACCCAGTCAAAGTTCTGCTGTTTGTTCCCTTTATGGGCCTTTCACACAGACCAAGGGAGACATAAACAGCCCAAATAAACAGGGAAACACAAGTGGAAAACCACAAGGATTGGCAGAGGATTCTACTACACGTAAATGTTTTGGAACTAAAGCCATCAAGAAAGGAAAACTTGGCCACGTCTCAAACCATAAACCCACCGTGTTAAGATTTGTGATATTTTTCTGAAGCTGAGAAAAGTTCCACTGAACCCAGCCCGGGTTTAAATTTGTTTGCAGTGGTATTTTATGACCACGCAAAGCTCTGAAATAATTCACCTGTTGCTTGGCAAGTTCATCCTCACTTGATACAAAAACAACATAGAGAAAAAAGTGATTTAAATTCCTTTTCACGCCATTTCTTTCTATGCTTGAGCAACCCAAATAAATATCAGTATTATTATTATTAACACAACACTTTTCCCTTCCTTTGCCATCAGGTTTTCATGGTCTGAGCTCAACATGGCACTTCAAGCTCTGCAAAGAATCTCTACATCCAAAACAAGCTCTAATTAAATTCTAGAGGTTTAGTTATCAGGTTGTTCTACTGAATAATTTTCATTTCATAAAGTCAATAACCTCAATGTTGTCTCTAAACACTGGACCTAAACTAGCCAAGATATCAGTGCCTGGAAGGCAAAGATGGAGACAAACATGATTTCTTATTTGGAGAGCAGAGCAACACAAGCTCAGTCTTATATTATAAATTAACTTAGTCCAGATTTATTAAAATAGAGGTACAAAAGGAAAACCTTAAAATAATTTTGGAAATTACAGGAAACTTAAAAAAACCACAAGGATGATTACAACAGGAGCAATCAATGCAGGTACATTTTTCTTCCCCTCTGTGGAACCAGCTGCCTTTTTTCCAGAATCAACGTCTCCCTCAAGTTTTCCAAGACTTTCTAGTTTTCAAAGTAATAAAAAGAACAGAATTTTGTAAACATTATCATTCCCAGAGGATTTTTAAATCATAACATGTCCAAGGATACAGAGCTACTGCTACAATAACTTCTCCAAAGTAACTCAAAGACTGGAGTTTTTCCCCAAGACACTGAAGCAGGATCCAAAGTTGGGAAGTTCATTCCAGCTCCCAGTATCCCACTGGGGTGATTCCTGCTGCCCACACCCACTGGAGAGGGGGTGTGGAAGAACATTTAAAAGCTTCAGTGGGGACAATCAGCTGCCAACCCACTGGTTTGGAGCAGCAGAAAAAAGATTTACAAGCAGTTGAAGAAGCCACAGAGGAGGAAACAGAACTATCCAGAACTATCCTCCAGCAGAGCAGAGTTCAGGAATAAGGGCAGACAATAATCAATATTCTGAACATGACCATACACAGGTCTTTCTTTTCACTCCCTACAAGTCAGACTGGGAAGCAGCAGCACTTTTCCCACTCCTGCATCCTCAAAAAGGATGGACTCTGCAAACACAGGATTTCCTGATCCTCCAGCTTTTCCAACCAGCACTGTTTTAGTGCTGTGGAGTTTGGGGGTGGAGGTCACTTATGGACTCGACAGCACCAGGACAGTGCCTTTACCCTCATGCATTAAGCTGGTACTGCCTGAAAGGTTTATTCACAGAATCACTGAGGTTGGAAAAGATCTCTGGAATCAGGGAGCCCACCCTGTGCCCGATGCCCACCTTGTCCCCCAACCCAGAGCACCGAGTGCCACGGCCAGGCCTTCCTTGGACACCTCCAGGGCTGGGGACTCCACCACCTCCCTGGGCAGCCCCTGCCAATATTTGGAACTCTTTCCATGGAGAAATTCCTCCTGATGTCCAACCTGACCCTCCCCTGACACAGCTTGAGGCCATTTCCCCTTGTCCTGTCCCTTATTCCCTGGGAGCAGAGCCCAACCCCCCCCGGCTTCAACCTCCTGTCAGGGAGTTGCAGAGTCAGAAGATTCCCCCTGAGCCTCCTTTTCTCTAGGATGAGCCCCCCCAGCTCCCTCAGCCCCTCCTGCTGCTCCAGACCCTTCCCTTCCCTGCACACACTCCAGCCCCTCCAGGTCTCTCCTGTCTGAGGGGCCCAGAGCTGCCCCCAGCATTCCTGAGGGTGCCTCCCCAGGTCCCAGCACAGGGAACAATCCCTTCCCTGCTCCTGCTGGATACACTATTCCTGATCCAATCCAGAGGCCACTGGCCTCTTGCCCCCCTGGGCTCATGTCCAGCCGCTCTCACCAGCACCCCCAGGGCCTTTTCCAGCTTTCCAGCCCCTCTGGCCCAGCCTGGAGCTGCAGGGGGTTGTTGTGACCCAAGGGCAGGACCCGACATTGGCCTTGTTGAACCTCATCCCATTGTCCTCAGCCCATGGATCCAACCTGGCCAGGTCCTTCTAGCCCCAAAATAACGCAAAGCACTGGGAAGAGGAGGGGATGAGTCGAGCAGGGCAGGAGGGACAGCAGGACACCCCTGAGGACAAGCTTTGCCCCAGCACCGCGGCTTCCACACCGCTCCGGGAGAACCTGGAAGGACCCAGTGCTCCGCAGGCCGGGCCCGCCCGGGCTCCCCCAGGACGGCAGGACACGCCGCCGGCCCTGTCTCACGCTGAGAGGCCGGGAGGGCGCGGAGCGGGGCCGCCCGTACCTGATAACCGAGATGAGCAGCCCCGAGGGGTCCTTGCTCCTGCCCACGGTGCCGCGGTACCGCCCCGCTGCCTCGCCCGCCGCCATCTTGAGCCCCCTCCGGCACGGCGCACACACACGCGTAGCCAATCAGAACAGAGCAGGGCGGGCCGCCACCCAATAGGAGGCGAGGGAGGCGGGGCGCGCGACATCAAGGGGCGCGGCGGCGCCGCGGGGGCTTCTGGGAGTTGTCGTTTTGACGGCGGCGGTGACCCGGCTCCTCCCTTGCACAGGTGATTGAAAGGTCAGTTAAAATCAGGTTTAAAAATTACCGACCAGACAAGATACACCTGCAAAGACACCTGTGCCCAATAGCCGTCACTCGCTTCAGAAGCTGCAGGAAACTGGTCTGGCGTGTGATTGACCGAAGTGCCCTCACAGAGCCCTCATGGAGCCCTCACAGAGCTGCGCTGAACAGCAACGGATTTAAATGTTCATAGAGCTTCAAGTTAATAAAACGCATTAAATACTTAGATTAACATGTTCTATGAACCAGTAATGCTAAATACTAGCACATCTGATCACAAAGACGTCACAAATCCAAGGGTTGCTGAAGTGTCACTTAACTTGATATCTTTAAGGTACAGCCTTTTACAAACAGTTCTCCTCAGTTTTCACCTGGAATACAGTGATGTGACTCAAGCTGAACCAGCCCAGGTGGTCTTTGAAGTCGGCTCTGAAAGTAAACCTGATATAGTTTGGGGTTGGAATTGTGGGTTTTTGAACAGCTGGAGGTGGTGGATGGGAGTCAGTTCACGAACTGGGAAGCGACACATCTCCAATACCCAGAGCCCACTTCCAGCTAGGGATATTCCATGATTCCATGATACTGAACAACAACCGACTTGCCCACATTCCTTGCTTTGCCATGGACACGCTCCATCTCTTGCCACAGGATCACCTTTGGAAAAGGGAAGGTCTCTGTCACCCTGTTCAGGGTTGGAAAACCAAAGGTTGCTTTTCAACATTCGCTGGACGACGTCAAACAAACCATCTCCCAACAGCTGCTTCGCTTTCCCTGCTTGCAAATAAGGGATAACAACACCTCTCCAGTCAAGTCCTTGGAGAGCTTGTGCTAAAAACACCACAGAGGGCCCAGGGTTGTTGTTGGAGAGGCAGGAATTCCTGAGCCAGGGCAGGAACAGCCATCATTTGCATCCCTCGTAGCTGCTGGGTGTTTTCTGAACCAGCTTCACTCCATCCTGTCAAAGACACTGCTCCTGGCTGCTCTCCTGGAGGTGCTTCTTCAGCCCAAAGCTGCACATTAATGACTTAATTGCATGGAAATTGCTGGAATCTGTAGGTAAATCAAGAGTATCCATTCATATGAGCTGTGTTTGAAGCACAACCTAATTGGAAGCGTGGTATTCCCAGGGTTTATTTACAAGGGGAATATTTCCACAATAGCTGTTGTGGAAGAGCCCCTATTTATTATAATCAACCCCTGTCTCTATGATCATTAGCAGAATGAGAGCGTGGGCACTTTAATTCTGAAATAAAAGATACTTTATTCCTGGATAACCAGCGTGTTTTCCGAACGGGATAATTACTCCAAAGTGATTTTTATGGGGTGTGCACTTCAGTGTTTTCCTGTAGAGCTGCTTTGCTACATTTCCCCTTGTGCAGAGACAGGCTCTCAGCTCTACAATTTGCTGTTCAGATATGCCAAAAAAAAGCTCATTTGCTGTGATTTTGTGAGCTTTGCCAATGCCTTTGCCCGAGGACGGTGATTTGAATGGCAAAAGGTTTCTGCACCGGCTGGAGGGAGTTTTTTTTTCCCTCAAACTGCTGGACTTGCCAATATTGTTTTTTTGTTAATTGGCAATTCCTATTGACTGCTCTGGACCAAGCACAGACCTGGAGATTGCAGTGGGGATGAAATCAATGTGTCCCACCTTTTCATTCCTGACAGCTGCAATAATCACCTCATTTAGGAGGAACTTCATCAGGACAGACGGCAGCAAATCTCCCCCAGAACTGTGACCTTACTGACTTTCAGTGCTGGGCTCTAATTGTTAAACCACTGCCTGCTTTCACTGACAAGCCCTTTTCCCTTCCCTCCCAACCCAAGCAGAGCTACAGGTGGGAATTTATGTTTTCTTTAAACAAAAGGGGGGAAAATCCAATGTAGTCTGGGCCGATGCAGCACATGAATGCTGAGATCTTTCTTGATTAATAATATATGACACAAGGAGGCTGAAGGGTTCTGAGAACATCATTTTCTCCTCACACAGCCTGCAAGAAAGGATCTCAACCTGAAAGCTGATGGATCGGGGCAGAAATCTATTTTTATTTTCACGTTTCTTTCACGCTGTTTTAGGACCCTCAGGTATCTCTTGGGGGGGAGGGGAGTTCCTTGACAACTCCTTTCCTGAGGTAGTTTTACCTGCAACCCCTTCCCACAATTTATCCCCTGGTCTTCTCGGAGTGCTCCTTGGGAATTCCTAAATCCAACAGATTTCCCGGTGCTCAGGGCTGGTGCACACGCAGGTCTCTCCACTACAGGTTTAACATTTGAAAAAAATACCACAAGTACTTTGTTATTTCATTTGCAACATTAGCAGAAATGTCAGAGGAAAGGGTTCAGCTCACACCAATCTCTTCCAGGTGTAATTGCCTCGTCTGTAATGCCTTTATATTGGTTGTAATGAAATTACCTTTGACTTCCATCAGTGTAAATGGGAGCAGAGTGAAGGCAGAGTTTCCATCTCACTGCAGGAGGAATTCTGCCTGTATAAAGAGAGCCTAATGATTTTGGCATCTATCAGTCAGTTCAATAAAATATATTCCCCTCTTTACAGAGCTTGTCACCCCCACAGCAGCTGCAGTAAACTGAAATTCTGGGCAAAGAATCAGCTCCAAACCACCCCCTTGTTGCATTAGATTTAATTCTGTTTTTTTTTATAAAGCCTTACCAGACTTAATTCTGGTTTTCTTATAAAGCTTCACCAGACTTTGCCTGGAAAAAAAACCTAAATAAAACTGTGCTGAACCATCAGGATCTGGCCCTGTGGTTAATCACTCACCTGGATGACCTTCTTATTCCTATTTACCATCACACAAGTGTGAATTAAACCTGGTTTAAGTGGTGTTTTTGGCTCTCCTGCCTGACAACAATCAGTATCTCCTCCCATCAATTCTCTCCGTCTCTGTGAATAAGAATTAAGAAACTCCTGGGGCAGGAGAAAAAGTTGCCTCGACGCTGGGAATCAAGGCAGAGATACGATTCAAATGCCTCCTTATTGTTTTCTGCCTCCTGACATTTCCCAAGTTGTGCTGAGTGCTGCTGCTGCAGGAAAAATAATAACCGAGATTGAGTTAAGTGGAAAAGTACTGCTGCTTTTCCAATGTCAAAGCCACACAATGTATGGTAATGGAATCCCTGGAGGAAAGCAGAGGGGAAAAAAGTGAAGTGTTGCTCTTCAAAAGCAGGTAAAAACACCGTGGAAAAGGATGAGCTGTTCTCCTTCTGTAAACCATTTAAAACCCACGTTATTTGGTTTGGGGTTTTTTTTTGCCCCTTTATTTTACTTATCCTTACTAAGGGAATGCTGGTTTTACAACTGGCAAAGCAGGGAGGTGAGACTGACCCAAAAAAAAAGTTTGTTGATGCAGTTGGTGACCTGGTTTAGTCCTGGCTTAGTGGTGGATTTGGCCGTGTTGGGTTAAAGCTTGGACTCGGTGATCTTAGAGGTCTTTCCCAACCCAAATAATTCCATTCAGGTCAGAAAAAGGGATAGAAAACCCAGAACTGATCCCATGGGATAATCTTTTAGCATGGCTTGTTTTGTGACTTGACTGATTCCATGGAAAACATTAAACTTCAAGGTGGTAGAGGAGCTTCCTAATCTAGTCAGGAATCTGTTAGGAATTAATCCCAGTTCCTTGAGCCCCAGAGCTGTGTTCACCTTCCAGGAGCTCCAACACGCTCCACAACCTTCTCAGCAAAGCCTGGATATATTTTTTCATGAGGCCTTTTTTTGTTCAGAGAGAGAATTTTCTGGTAGAGACAAAACATGTCGGAGAAATATCCTTTTTTCCATCATTATTGAGTATTGTGGATGCACCAGATCTTGGGCTTAGGAAGCCTAAATGTGACTTAGACAATCTTAAGGCTCAGACAGACTTCCCATGGGATTTCCCACATCCAGTTGTCCACAGGTATCTTCCAAACCCTCAGGTGAAGAGGTGCAGGCTGGTTGAAATTAAAACCTTGAAGTCTTGTCCTCCTTTGGAACCCTGGAAAACCTCAGGTGTAGAAGAAACATTAAAAAAAACACTCCCATTCCAACTCTTCCATGTTTAATTATGGTTTTTTTTTTCTCCCAGCCTTTCTGTAAGGAGTTCTTAAATCCCATCTTATTTTAACCCTATTTATTATTTATCTCATTTTAATCCTATTCTTATTTTAGGCCAGATCCATTAAGTTCCCCATGCTATGACTTGTGGATTTGTTGGGCAAATCAACTCTTGCCTCAGGTGATATCCAAGCCAGGAAATTCCTCTAGTTTGGAGGAAAGGATAGGAAGGAACATGTGTTAAGGCATAACTAGATTAGGAAGCTGCTCCAGCACCTTGAAATTTAATGTTTTCCATGTAATCAGTCAATTAACAAAACAAGCCATGCTAAAAGATTATCCATGGGATCAGTTCTGGGTTTTCTATCCCTTTTTCTGACCTGAATGGAATTATTTGGGTTGGGAAAGACCTCTAAGATCACCGAGTCCAAGCTTTAACCCAGCACTGCCAAATCCACCACTAAGCCAGGTCAGGTAGAAAGGATAGAAAAGGAAGTCCCAGAAGTCCTGCTGGGACTGAGGGGGAAGTGGAACCACTTGGCTCTCTTATTCCAAGTGGGAAGGAGAGGCAATGGATGCCCCAGCCCCAGGAAAACCCCTCAGATCAGAGCTTCACCTTATCAAACCACAGGCAGCCAAGCATGACAAATGTTGGAGACAAGACTTCATCAATTCTAGTGCTCACAAAAATAGCTCATCCTGCTGAATTCAGCTTTGGATATTTTCTGGTTTCTGTAACCAGGAGCTCCAGGCAAGAGAAACAACAAGAACTTGAACTGAAATAAGTAAAAATTAACATTTCCGGCAACCCACTCTTGTATTTTCAGGGGAAGCAGCAGCAGCAGCATCAATCCTCCTGGAATGAGACATCAGCCATCCCATTTCAAGGCTTCCCTCGCAGAAAATGGGGCATAAGATTGAGCAGCTGAACAGCCCTTTTGGCCTCAAATTTAATTTCCTATGAGCTGATGGAAGAGAGGGGTAATATGACACTTGTGATTCTGTAGCGCTTTTGACAAAGCAAATCTGTCACTGGCAAACACCAAAAACTCCATTTTCCAGCAGGAACTGTGACCCAGGGATGCTGAAATCAGGCATGGAACAACAGAGCCCTCTTACCTCACAATCTCAAAGTTTTGCTGCCAAGAGGAGAAGGAACTGGAATGATCCGTGCTCGGCCAGCAGCTCGACGGCCACGTCGGAGGAGATTCCAAACACTGGTTGCCTGGTTGGTATCTTCTCCCAGGTAATGAGTGACAGGGTCAGAGAGGATGTTCAGGTTGGACTTTACGAGGAATTTCTTCCTGGAAAGGGTTCTGAACATTGACAGGGGCTGCCCAGGGAGGTGGTGGAGTCCTTGGAGGTGTCCCAGGAAGGCCTGGCCGTGGGACTCAGTGCTCTGGGGAGGGGGACAAGGTGGGCATCGGGCACAGGGTGGACTCCATGGGCTGGGAGGGCTTTTCCAACCTCAGTGATTCTGGGATTCTCTGAACCAAGGAGAGTGGAAAATGGTCTTTGTACTTTCAAGGTTTTCACCTAAAACTACTTATTTTCCAACCTGCAACATTTTCACAACTTGAGTTCCCTGAATCCTGTTTGCCACCTTCCTAAGGGGACAACAGGACAGGACAAGAGGGAACGGCCTCCAGCTGTGCCAGAGGAGGGTCAGGTTGGACATCAGGAGGAATTTCTCCATGGAAAGGGTTCCAAACATTGGCAGGGGCTGCCCAGGGAGGTGGTGGAGTCCCCAGCCCTGGAGGTGTCCCAGGAAGGCCTGGCCGTGGCACTCAGTGCTCTGGGCTGGGGACAAGGTGGGCACCGGGCATAGGGTGGATCCATGGGCTGGGAGGGCTTTTCCAACCTCAGTGATTCTGGGATTCTCTGAACCAGGGAGAGTGGAAAGTGGTCTTTGTACTTTGAGAGTTTCACTTAAAACTACTTGTTTTTCAACCTGCAACATTTCCACAACTTGAGTTCCCTGAATCCCGTTTGCCACCCTCCTAAGGGGACAACAGGACAGGACAAGAGGGAACGGCCTCCAGCTGTGCCAGGGGAGGGTCAGGTTGGACATCAGGAGGAATTTCCTCATGGAAAGGGTGGTCAGGCCTTGGCAGGGGCTGCCCAGGGAGGTGATGGAGTCCCCAGCCCTGGAGGTGTCCAAGGAAGGCCTGGCTGTGGCACTCAGTGCTCTGGGCTGGGGACAAGGTGGGGATGGGGCACAGGGTGGACTTTGATGATCTGGGAGGGCTTTTCCAACCCAAATGAAGGTAGAGGTGCCTCTGAAAGGGCTTTGCACCTGCCTGTTAGAAACCTGAGCCCCTGCTTGACCACAGAGATTGGAGAGAGTGACCAACATTGATCCCTGTCTGATCAACGTGTTCTCGTCCTGCATTTTCACTGAGACAAAACATCAGTGAGAAAAAGAGTTTCTTTGGGGGAGTTTTTTTACTAAAAACTCCTTCATCCTTTCTGCCTCGTGATACCACAACACCAGAGTAGCCTCATGCCTCCAGGGTGGGTTATAGCGATGGTGTTGATAAGTTTTTTGGGAATATTTGCTCCATGTTGCTTTTTATGGTGCCACTGTTGTGATCCCTCCCCCTGCCCTGGCCTGGGACAGCGTGAGGTAGGGACGAGAGGAACCAGCCTCAAATTGCACCAGAGGAGGATTAGATTAGATAGTAGGAATTTTGTTTTTTCATGGAAGGGGTTGTAAAGCACTAGAACAGGTTGCCCAGAGCAGTGGTGGAGTCCCAGTCCCTGGAAGTGTTCAAAAAACGTGTGGATGTGGCACTTGGGGACATGATTTACTGGTGAACATGGTGGTGGTGCTGGTCGATGGTTGGACTTGATGATCTTAAAGGTCTTTTCCAACCTTAGTCATTCCATGATTCTGTGGCAGCACAGCTTAGGGGGTGGAGAAGGCTTGACTTTCCCCTTGCCCCAAAATGTTACCTCCCATCACCTCGGAATTCTCCCAGTTTGGTGGGTGAGATGAACCCTGCAGGCCACTGCCCTGACTCCCAGGTCACTGCCCTGACTCCCAGATCACTGCTCTGACTCTCTCAGCCTGGACAAATCTAAAATCCCTGCATCAAACAGCCTCAAAGTTCTGACTGGAAACTGTTCAGCAGTAACAGGGATGATAATTCCCAACTATTTGGTGGTGGGAAGTGTCTGTGGGCAGAGTGAGGATGCTCAGGGAGCTACAGGCACTTCAAAAGGACGATGATAAAGAGCCAACTGAGGCACCAGATCTACAGGACCAGACTTAAATCAGCTTTATTGCCCAGGGCTGTTCTGTGGGCACTGAGTGAGGCTGAAGACAGATGTCTTTAATTTTTCCTGTTGTTGTCAGCAAGAAGGACAAAATCAGGAAGACAGATGCTTGCAGATGAACCCCACAGCTCCATCACCACTTCAGGGCTGGAGACACGTCAGGATGGGAGATTTTGTGCTGTTTCCTCCCTGATCTTTCAGCCCCCAAAAGCTCTGAGAGTGGATTAAGAGATGTCAGTGGTGTAGAACCTGTTCATCATAACAACCTTACAATGTGGGCTCTGGGTGACCTTTGAAACACAAAGAGGATGAGGCAAGATTTGCTTGGAATTGCAGGAATTCAAAAAGTTCCTAGAGGTGGGGGTGTATCCAACGGGACAGCAGAGGTTTGGAAATTCCCATTTGAAGTCTGGTCAGGTGATATTAAATACCCAGCAAGAAAGTGAAGTGTGATCTACTGGCCATCTATAAAATGAGATGGGATGTGATAAAATGAACTCAAAGGTCTTCTCATCTCTGCTGTCACCATGGCATTGCTGGGACTGCTGTTGCTAAATTTTAACAATTCCCCCTCAGGAAAGGCAAGGCCTACGATGTAATGTCATTTTTTTCCCGGCGTCCTTTATGGGTTTGGGGAAGAAAAACATTTCAAGGAGTGCCCAGCTGCAGGGATGTGGGGAGAAATCAGCTCAGCACAATCATCAGGAATCTCTCACAACTAATATGTGTCATAACAAGTGCTGGAAACAACCACCCAGGCCCTGAAGGCCACTCAGCTGCTCCTTTTGCTGTCTCTCGTCGCCCCTTCACTGCTGCTCTCCACTCCCTACTCTTCCCTAAATAATTCCCTGCTTCCCATCGTGTCCTCTCTTCTTCATCTTTACATTTGCCTAATCCCTTCCACTAAAAAAACACCGATATTTTTAAAATTACAACCACACAACCTACATTTAGAAATCGCTGCTCCGCTGGCGTTCAGGTCACATCCTTTTCCTCCTCCAGCTCCTGAGTTCTCAGCTGCTTAAATCATAAACCCACCAGGGCAGAGGCCACGTTTTAGCCACAGCCCAGAGGAGATTTATGGAGCACAATTAAGCAGGATAATAAAACACACCTCGGAGAAGGCTGAAAGGGGAGTTGTGGAATCCAGAGGTGAACATGGGATGACTTTGGCTTATTTCTTGCACAGCTTAGACCAGGGGACTTGATGCAGCGAGTCCTGCAGGAGCCACCACTGAGAGGGACCTGCTGGTGGCTTCTCCCTGTCCCATCATAGCCTGTTCCACCAGAAATTGTCCTACTCAAATGGTATCCCGTGTGTCCTGCTTTAATTTGTCTTTCCCAGATCTTCCCCCACTTCCTGGGCCTACAAGGAAGCTGGAAAGGGAATTTTAACAAAGTAAGTAAAGACAGGACAAAGGGGAATGGCTTTAAATTACAGAGGGCAGGGTTAGATGGGATATTGGGATGGAATTCCTGGCTGGGATGGTGGGGAGGCCCTGGCACAGGTTGCCCAGAGAAGCTGTGGCTGCCCCTGGTTCCCTGGAAGTGTCCAAGGCCGGGTTGGAGCAACCTGGGCTAGTGGAAGGTGTCAGGGTTGGAACTGGATGATCTTTACGTTCCCTTCCAACCCAAAAAGGATATTGGGAAGGAATTGCTGGCTGGGAGGGTGAGGAGGGGCTGGGATGGATTTCCCAGAGAAGCTGTGGCTGCCCCTGGATCCCTGGAAGTGTCCAAGGCCGGGTTGGATGGGACTTGGAGCAACCTGGGCTAGTGGAAGGTGTTGGGGTTGGAACTGGATGGTCTTTGAGGTCCCTTCCAACCCAAGCCAGTCCATGATTTTGTGATCCTATCATTTGATGCTGGAAGATCTCCAGACTTTCCTGCCTTCTTCCCTCCCTGTGCCTGTGATTCCTTCGTGCAGCTGGACAACCTGAGGCTGTTTGGGGTGAAGAACATTCCAGGCTACATTAAGATTTAAGCCATGGCAGGGCCTTCCCACTGTGTGTGTCACTCCCCCAGAGAGCAACAGCCTTTCTTGGTGTCCTGGATGGCCACAGAAAATCTGGGCTTATATTAAACCTGTGTGAAATTTAGACCTGGCTTCAGAGGAACGGGATGCAGGAGGCAAATTTTACATCCCATAACCAGGGCATGTGACCTGACAGTCAGGCTGTGAATCTTTCTGAGTTTTAATATTGAATTGCAGAACAGTTGGGGTTGGAAGGGACCTTAAAGACAGTGACACCCCTTGCCATGGGCAGGGACACCTTCCACTAGCCCAGGTTGCTCCCAGCCCCATCCAACCTGGCCTTGGACACTTCCAGGGATCCAGGAGCAGCCACAGCTTCTCCAGGAATTCCATCCCAGCCCCTCCCCACCCTCCCAGCCAGGAATTCCTTCCCAATATCCCATCTGGCACTGGGAAGCCATTCCCTGTGTCCTGTCCCTCCATGCCTTGTCCCCAGTCCCTCTCCAGCTCTCCTGGAGCCCCTTTAGGCCTTGGAAGGAGCTCTCAGGTCTCCCTGGAGCCTTCTCCAGGGGAACATTCCCAACTCTCCCAGCCTGGCTCCAGAGCAGAGGGCTCCAGCCCTGGGAGCAGCTCCGGGGCCTCCTCTGGACCCTCTCCAGCAGCTCCATGTCCTCCTGCTCTTGGGGAAACAGAACCTGGATATGTGTAAGAACAAATATTCCTACTAGATTTGTGTCCTCCTGAAATTCTCCTTATTGGCTGCAAGATTCCCCCCTGGCTCACTGTGGGACACCATTCCAGGGAGCAGACTGGCCCCACCATGACCATTCCCATGGGATTATACAAGCCAGCCATGGACCATGGATTTGGGCAGGTGGGAAGAAGGGTTGAAAAGTGCAGGACAGCGAAGAGCTTTTGTTGTGTGCTTTTCTCAAGGAACCAGAGGGGATAAAACACACTTTCATTTTTCCAAGGAAAGAAGCAATAAGTGCACA